ATATATATATATATATATATATATATATATATATATATAAAATTCAACTTCTTTTTTATGGTGAAGGTATATGATAATGTATGGCAGCATTCAGGATCACAGTAGCCTGAAGAAAAAAAAAGGCTTGTGTCTGTTTTCACCCAAAAATGAGACTTTGCCTTCAGTTTTCCACAGCGTTTTTTTAAACATTAATAACTTGTCATTCAACATTCGCTCACTTCAATTTCTGTCTTCTAGCTTTCATCTTTGAAACTGTTTCCTTCCTTCCAACATTTTTCAGTCAGGTCATCTTGACAGTTTCTTTTTTTGTGCTGAAACGTTTCGCCTTCAATCCGGAAGGCTTCATCAGTCAAGGAAACACACAACACAAAACTGATTCATCCCCCAACTGCTTACTCCAAAGTGGAACAAACCAGTTATGTTGGTGCTAAGATGGTCTCTTTGTCATGCTCCTCCTCCATTGCCGGCCCTCTTCCTTGTTGACAGTCGTGTCAAGCAAGAGGACCGGCAATGGAGGAGGAGCATGACAAAGAGACCATCATCCACATGTCCAACAGTTTGAGATGGCAGGTTTATCACCAAAGTAAAGCTTGGACAGTGGTTGCACAGAGGCCTGTGGGCAAAATGTCATCACTTTAAACGTTTTTACTTGTGTTCAACAAAACTCATTTAAAATATGTTTCTCGCCACGTTTGAGGAACATAAACTGTGGATTTTCAAAGAAATTTAGAAAACACTTGTGCAGAAATGACATTTTTTGTAAGTCAACCTGTTTTTCATTGCTTAATCATAAAATATACTCTTACCAGTTTTACCAGCTTGTCAGTATTATATCATTTATGCATAATTGAGTTAAGTTTTTTTGGCCCAGCCTTTCACAATATTTTCTGTTTTTTATGTGGCACCATGGAAAAAAGTAATTGCCCACCCCTGCTCTAAATGCTCAAGATAACGCTGCATTACATGTTCCCCTCTGACAACGTTTAATAATTTCTCTGATGAGTTTTCATGAAATTCCTCTGACTGCAAAATGTTGGGAATGCAAAATACAGACAATGTTGTCTGAGGAAAAGGGGCTGCAGCTCCTGCAGGTAAGGACATTTCACTTTTAGGACAAATTGCAATCCACCATTGTCAGTTGCTGACAAGCCTACTGGGTTGATTGACAGGTCACATCATGTCAGAATCACCTTTAGTGTCTTTGCACAGTTAAGTACAGAGAAAAAACATTTCAGTGCAGCCATCCAAAGGGGTAGACGGGGGTGCACGGGGGCTGCAGCTTTGTTGTGAAGCGCTGCCCTTATGATTTAGATAAGAAAAGAGAAGAAAAACATGAGAAAAGAAGGTATAAAAAAGATCTCTCACACTGTGTCCTTGACACACAGGACACAGAGTGAGGTAGCAAAAAAAAAACAAAAAAAAAAACGACCTCAGCACAAAAATGGCAACATAGATAGACATAAGACATTTTGCTGGGAGGAAGCTGACAAAGGCGGTGAGACTGTCCGTGATCACTGCCAGAAAGTTCCATAGTCCTGATAAAGAGAGAAGGGGTTCTCTGCAGACCAAAAGTGGGCGTTTCTGGAGAATAAGCGTTTGTAGAGGGCAAACACTGATTGGTTAGATGTATTTGCTGATCTTTAGGTAAGTTACATCAGCTCTTTTTTTTTTTTAAACTGAAGGTTTCTAAGAAACAGCATTATAGCTGCTGTCAAACACAAGAAGCTTCTCTTTTGTTCTTGGTTGTAGGCTGCACCTGACACAGGTTGGCTTGAGTGTGGTCTGGGTATAATGAAATATGAAGCATCTGAAGCGAAACCTGCTCCTATTTGTCAAAAAGTCTGGTCTCAATTAAAGATCATGAGTCCTGTGACGAGATAATGGCCCAAAACAAAAGCTAAAAACTACTTTTTTTCCTTTAGAAGTTCTTCTATGAGATCTGATCTATGAAAGGAGCTGAAACATGAAGTAGGATTGACCCTTAAAATGTGAGACAGCTGATGAAGTTAACCAGTAAACAGAAATACCTGCTCCAGTTGCAGAAATCTTACAGAAACTGACAATCACTCATCTGCAGTGACTGCTTTAAAAGGTTGAACAAGAAAATGTGAAGTTAAAGGAAACATGCTTTGTCCCAAAGCCAGTTTAAGTATCATTAATATTTTGATTACTTTATTTTTCTTTCTTTATGAATCAATTGCAACTATTTTCACATTATTCAACAACCAAAAAGGATTTTGTTTTTAATGTAATGGCTAGGTATTAAAAAACAAACATTTATCCCTCCCCACTACCCCATTACCCAGTTATGTTGCTCTTATTTTGAAATGTAACTGGAAGTTCTGTGTTAAGAGAGACGGAAAGAGAAGTTATGGAGACGCCGCTAATGTCGAACTGGTTAACACCATTGACGTAATATGTCTGTGGGTAACACAAACGGCTTGTTTTTTTAATTCAGACTTTTTTTTTTTGTCCAATCAGATTTGGCCCTCCAGATATGCCCATTTTACTATTGTCCAATCAGATGTGGCCCTCTGGACACGCCCATTTTCTATCGTCCAATCAAATGTGACTCGCGACATATGCCCATTGTTTTATCGTCCAATCAGATGTGGCACCCCAGATACACCTTCCAAATCTGCAGAGATACCTACTTGGATAAAGATGGCACAATGTCTATCAGCCAGCTCAGCTCTGATAAGGGTCCACAAATGTTCTCGGGGGGGGGGGAGCAGGAGCAGAGCTTCATGATTTACATATTCTTCAGGAGCAATTTGAGATAAGTTGGCCTATCCAGCGCCAAGCGGGGAAGCCATATTCATATAAACAACAATTGTTTTGGGGCAGGCCAACTCTACTGGTTTCATGTCTGCCTTCATAGTTCTGCTGGCACACTCAGTGGTGAATCCAAACAGCCAGATTTGAGGGTCATTCCACCGGTTCATGCTTGTTAGCTTTCTCCAAGGTCGATTCCTTCATGCCAGCTAGTTCCAGGCTTGCAAAGCATCTGAGTCTGAGCGCTTGAAGCACGGTACAATCCTTCACATAGGCAGACCACCTCATCATCATCAGTTGTGACTTAGATACAACTTTAACTCAAGGTGTGCACAGACTTTGTTTTTTACATGCTCGAACCTTGTTTCTGTTTATATAAGCCTGTTGAAGGCCAATTATTACAGTCTCTGTCAGTCAGTCAGCCAGTCAGTCAGTCAGTCAGTCAGTCAGTCAGTCAGTCAGGGTTACAAATCAAGGTGAAAATTCAAACAGTCTATGCTTGTCCGGACCACAAATTCAGATCTACTCAAAATAAATTAATGAAATTCGGTACACATACTGTCTGCATGATCAGTAGTGTTGTGTACACTTTTCATCACCCTAGCTTCAAGCTCATGATCATAAGTCAAGGTGAAAGTTTATACATTTTCTTTACTTGTTCAGGTCATTGCTATAGATTGATCCCTCTACTGCTGTATGTTTGTCACTGAGTGTAGAATGTGCCATATGCAATACTTGTTAAACTTTGTAAAGTTCCTTCAGATGCTCAGCAGACAAGATTTAGCTGTTTGTTCTGACAAATGCATGTGATTTTATGAATACTTTAAATTTCATGTAAGGAAATACCGATAAGGTTAAGTTTTTGTTCTATGTCATCTTAATAAAAGTCACAGCCCCATTTTTGCTTGTTTGTTTAGGTCTGTGTGTAAATAGCACAAATACAAGTACTTCAGTAACATTTTTGGGTTGGCATTTATTTGCTTATTGTTTGTATGTAACATGTATGTTGCCTGTAGTTGAGGAGGAGAATCCTGACTACTGGAGGTCACGGGCCCGGGAGACTCTACAGTCAGCCCTGGACAGGAAGCCCAACACCAACATTGCCAAGAACATCCTGTTTTTTCTTGGAGATGGTAAGCTGCATAAAACCCAGTCACTACAGCATGTTGATAAAAAGCCTCGACTTCCTGATGTAGTGGAACAAACCTAAACATTAAAGTTCATGCTCAATAATCCAGAGAAAAAAATCCAACAAAATTAAGTCAGGAAAGGACCGTTTCTAGCTAAAGAAACTGTCCAGGTGACCTGACAACTTTGTTGGAAACCCAAATGTTGAGTATAAAATAAATCAAAAATAAGAAAAGAAAATCAAACATGACAAGGCATGACAACAAAATGAAATCCGGTGGGGAAACAGTTTACTTGGGACTCCTCAGACTGATGAAGCCCTCCAGATAGAGGGTGAAACATCTTTCCACAAAAAATAAACTGTCCAGATGACCTGATGGACCATTATTGGATTTGGTACCTGGATGATTGAGCATGAGCTTTGAGAGCAAAATGAAATCCACACTAGGGAGATTACTACTACTACTACTACTACTACTATTACTACTACTACTACTACTACTACTACTACTACTACTACTAATAATAATAATAATAATAATAATAATAATGTGTTATGTGTTGTCATCATTGCATGTTCCCATACAATGGTGAAATTGGCTCTCTGCATTTAACCCATCCATTACCAGGTGGGGCAGTGGGCGGCTATTGGGGGTGCCTGGGGGGGGGGGGGGCAACTGGGGATAGGGTGTGCTGCTCAGAGACACCACAAGATGTGCAATGACTGGGGAATGAGCCTGGGACTTTGGGGTCTCGGGTCGGCTGCCCTGCCTCTGCCCCCACTAGAGTTTAGTCTGGTGCCAGTGATGAGTATTGAAGGTAGACATAAATGAACTGGTGTTGTGTGCATCAGGTATGGGAGTTACAACGTTCACAGCAGCTCGCATCCTGAAGGGCCAGCTGCAGAACCAGTCAGGGGAGGACTCAGTGATGACCATGGACACCTTCCCCCATGTAGGGCTGGCTAAGGTACATACAGTTAGACTGTAAGAATGCACTGCTTCATTTGTAAGGTTTAATCTGTCAGAACAGAAACAAACATCATCTGGTCGGTATGGTATGTTGTGACTTTTGTAGCTGTTTTTATTTTGTCTCTCTCTTGTAACTTTTCCACATTATTTAACTTTATTTAAAGCAAATTCCTCATTGAAATAAACTGAAATCATGTGATATACATGCATGTGCAGCTAAATAATACTCCACTCTGAAGTAAATTATCCTCTGAGGTAAGTGATCCTTGTTCCTATAACCATGAAAATTGGACTTCCACTTCAAAGGTCTATGCAACAGTAATTCACTTTAATAAGAGCAGCTGAGCTGCCAAATCACTTCAGATTTCATGCAAGATGTTTCTCTTCTCTTTTTAGGTTCTGCTGTTCTTCAGTTTTAGTTGTAGGGATGTAATGACCAATTAGCATGACTTGACCATTGTGTGTTGTTCAGGTTACTTCTGGTTTTGAGATGATTTCCCATTATTTGAAAAGTTTTTCCACCATAGTTTGTGGGGATTATTTATTTGTGTGTGTATGTTGCAGACCTACAGTGTGGACTTCCAGATTCCAGACAGTGCAGCCACAGCCACGGCCTATCTGTGCGGAGTGAAAACCAACCTGAATGTCATTGGAGTGAACGCAGCGGCTCGGAACGGGGTCTGCAGAACTCAGAAAGGGAACGAGGTCACATCTATCCTGAAGTGGGCCAAAGATGCTGGTGAGGTCACCAAAGAAGCCTTTAAAAAAATTACTCTGAACTAGTCACGAAAATAACCCAAATCACTTGAGTCGTTCACCCTGTGCACCAGCACCCACCCACCATCCGCACCGTCACATATACAGTACATATACAAATATATACATACATATATCACTTCACTTCCGGCGAGCTGATGGACGGCAGCTCCCTCCGGCATCTCTGCAGTCTTTTATCATCAAACTGATCCGTTTTTTCGAACCGGACTAAAGTTGGTCCCCCTTCCAACCGAATTCGGTGTTCAGTGACTCAGAGAGCCGGACGGGACCGTCCAAAAAATATATTTTAGTCCAGGACCGGCTGCTCCCACTCCACCAGTCACTCTGAGTGCACCCTGCTGGCCAGGTGACCCCTCGAGCTGGGGAGTCGTCGCACGAAGGTCCGGTGTTTTTTCTCTCTCTCTGGACCCCAACGAACTTCTCATCTGGACCTTTGTGGTTTTACCTGGCTCCGACAAGAATCGCTGGGTGGTATTTTGCTGTTTTTCTGCTCGACTGGCCCTCGTGGTGTCTTCATAGGTGTGGGGGAAGTGTACCTGTGACCCTCGAACTAGACCAGAACCGAACCGAGTTGGCTGTGGGGGACTTCGTCTTCAACATAACGGGTCTCAGCTTCATTGAGCAGCCCGTAACTTTTAATGAAGGACTGTCCACCTCCGTGGAATCGTTGTGTTCACCTGGAGGAGACGCTCCGGTGCTTAGAAGCGCCGCCGGACCGAAGCAGAACCAGGCCAGGGACAACTGCAGCCTCTTCGTCTCTCGTGCTATGGAGCGCCGGAGCCGGACGGAGCAGAACCGGACTGGACCAGTGATGACTTCAGCCTCAGCCTCTCCGATCAGTCTTGTTTTTCACCGGGGGTGCCTCTTGTGCTGTCAGGTGCGGAGGTGTCATGCAGAGAAGCGGAGGAGCAGCGTGAAGGAGCAGGGCTGCGTGGTGCTCGAGAGAAGTTCGGAGTTTACATCGGAGTTGCTGCAGGCCTCCATCCAAACTCACCTGGATAATAATTAATTTTATTCCGGATCACGCTGTTGGTCCCTGTTGACCTGAAACGAGCTAGGATCATGCCTTTCACTTCAGGAGGATTTTCTTTCAGCTCGCTCTGCTATTTGCTGCAAATTATCTGTTTCTGTTTTGGCCTGTTGATATTGGGCCCAGCTTTTGTTTCCCATGGGAGCTTCCATCCATCTTCACTGGGGGGCCGGAGCCCCCCTCAGCCCAACACAAACTGCAGTTGGGCCACCTTGTCGGGTTTGTTTGCCCATTTGAACTGTGACGTTTTATGGTCTGAGACTTTTCTGCATCATTCATGTTATTGCCACTATTTTCAGCTCTCAGATTATCTGGAGTCACTGAATCTTGTTAATACACCTGAATCTGCCCATCACTGCAACTTTAACTGTTTTGGGGCTCTGAATGATAGCGTCTTCATTAATGTTTCTCATGATTTGATTATGGGGGCTAATTGTCACATTGTTAACTCCTGTAATTACACATCAGTCACAAAAAACTCAAGAAAATGTCTGATAATAATGTTGTTACTGCTCTCAGGGATTCAGCCCAACCTTGGGCCTCCCACTAATTACAGCACACCAAATGACTTTAAAAACGTGTCTGGGCTTCATTTTCTGCATGTAAACGCTCGTAGCCTTCTGAGAAAACTTGATGCCTTAAAAATTCTGGTCAGTTCTTCTGGGGCAGATGTAATATTCATCTCTGAAACCTGGCTCAACAAATCTGTACTCAATAATTACCTGGCAATCAATGGATTTAACATCTACCGCTATGATCGTCAAAAAAAAAAAAAGGGGGGGGAGTCGCTGTTCACATCAGAGGTTCTTTGGTTGCTAGTCCTGTGTCTTCTAAAAATATTCCAAACCAGTTTGAAGCCTTAGCTGTAAACATCACCTTGAATGGTAGCCAGATCTTATCTGTAGTCTGTTGTTACCGTCCAGCCTCAGCAACACCTGAGGCTCTGTCTGCCCTGATGGAATTTATTGGTAATTTAAAATTCAAAGAGATCCTTTTGGCAGGAGACCTCAACATTGATTGGGGTAAGTCGACCCCCCTCTGTGATAAATTCAAGGAATGTTGCCCTTCTCTCAATCTTACCCAATTGATCAACTCTCCCAATAGATTAAACAAAAACCGTCCTGAAAAATCCACCATCTTAGACCTATTTCTAACTAATATGCCTCACAAATTCCCTGGTACAGGTGTATTTGCCAATATCTTGAGTGATCATTGTGTGACAGCGGCTTTGAGAGATATTAAACTTCCACCTTCTAAGCCCAGATTAATTCAAAAAAGGGATCTGAAACATTTTTGTGAACAGTCATTCCTCTGGGATCTGTCTCCCTTTGACTGGCATCGTATTCTGTTAAGAATCTGAATCAGAAGAATAAACTTTATTGGAATTGCACCGAGGTACAACGCCAATATGTACGTACAGTCGTCCGAAAGATGGGCGGAGTGCACGAAGCTGCAACTACAGGAGAGCGCGGCCATTTTATCCTTATCAGATAATAATCTTAGATAGGAAAAGGGGGAGAAACATGAGGGTAGATAGTGGTATTACAAAAAAGATCTTTCACATCTTGTCTATCAGGACACAATTTGAGACATCAAAAAACTCTACCAGCAAGCACAATTAAAACATGAATACATTTGCATTTGACATCAAGGTGTTGAGATTTGTCCATGAGCTTTTTTTTTCAGATCAGCCACAGTTTCTGAAGATGTTGTTTTCAGCCAGCAGTTCTGATAAGCCTGCACAGAGAGTTCTCGGGGAGGGGGGGGGGGG